AAAGGACGGATGATAACACTAATTCAACCTCGATCTTACTATTAGACAGTTAATGTATTATTCTATAGAAATAATAATGTCTATCATTTATTTTATTACAATAAAAAATTATATTAAAATGATATTTTAAAATTAATATTACAAAATTTTAATGATTCAAAACATTCAACTTTTCTGAAAATCTTTGTTTTTTAAGTTATAGTGTCGTTGTTATAGCTGATAACAAGTAAAAGTGATATAATTATATACATATAATTATAATGCATATAATAATATATAATTACATATAATAATATATAATACGAGTAATTGTATGACTGGACAGTTTTACTTATAATAAAATATATAAAATATATTTTTCCATTTAATGCAATGTGTAATTTCAATACGGTAGACTTGTTCGAACAAATTTTCGGTGTTTGTAACTTTATTTGCATCGATATCATTCTTTTCTTCGAGCATTTAATTGCTCCTGCGTACCAGACATTTAATCGCAATAACCGAATTCACGCGATGACCTCGACGATGTTGTTTCACGAAAGCGAGTCGCCTGGGTCGCGTATGCGTGTGTGTATCTGTATACGTGTCACAGCAGACACGCATAGTAAGTTCGCATCGAATTCTTCGACATTGCGTTCGTTGAGTTCTTTGACATTACGTTCGTCGATCCAGCCGACGCGATTGACAGATCGTCGATCGAATATATTCGACTTAAAGCGAATAAAGCTAATCCTAATCGCGATTCAATAGTATTCTCAAGTTTGTATTTTTTTTTTCCTTAATGATCTTCCAAAATTAGATTCGAAACAAATATTTTTAAGTAATTTGTAGTTTCCAATATTAGAAGTTTCGACAATTAAGAGCGAACACAGTTTCGTTAACAATGAATTTATTTTAGATACCTGTCGGATTAAAAATCATTTTTATTTAATTATTATCAAAAAGAAAACTCTAGAATTGCATAATTTAGCTTGTTAAATAATACTAATCAAGATTGAATATTGAGTAACAGCATAAAATAATTTATAAAGTCAATAATTTGATTTTAACCAAGATAAACACAACAAAGATAACTTTTTGATGATTCTGTAATCTCAAATTCGATGATTTTTTTTAGTTTCGCGAATTATTAGACAATTTTATTTAATTAATTTTCGTTCAATGTACTCTTTATTGTTACAAGTACATTAACGAGCTTTTAAACACAGGACGTAGCACTTCCTTCACTCACATCCCCGATTAATTTTTTTGCACGTCACTCTGTATATGAACTCGCGCAAATGTTGCTGATAGTGAAAGTGTTGAATTACGAGTCGCGAAACCGCGTCGCGGGCAATTCATTACCGGATTTTACTGGCCTTTTTCCCATCAAATTTTGAACTTTTTATATGTGCTTCCCGTAAAAACGGACAGACTGTTAAGCGAGTTTTGCCTAATTATTATCGGTACACATAAGACATACACCGGTCGGCTTTATCGGCGGCAATTCTGCTTAATTGGCGCCGAACTTATAAAAGAGATCGGCAAGCTCGATAGAGTCATGCAGATAAGAATAACAAAGTTCTAAGACGACTCATTTTCAAAAGAGGGAGACCCGAAATATATCCATTAATTAAAAGACGCATGTATCGCGAATATAAAACCAACCAACACGTTTCCGAACGAACTTTGATAATTGTTTTAGTCGGCACTTTAAAAATGTTTCTAGAAAATATGTATGTAGCAACACGCAGATGATACTACTATCGAGAATTTCAGTTAGAGAAGGGTAAAAAAATCTTTACATATTTAAAAGCAAGTCTTCTTTGATCATCAGACATTTTTACGAATAAGTGTAAGTCATGAATTGGGCAATAAATATTCAATTTTTCATCGTAAAAATGATTTTCATAATTCGATTTTTTTTTAATCAAAATTTCGAAGAGAGCAGTGCCCTCTCCTATCTCCTCTCGCGTATGTTCACAGTATTTGAACAATATAAGACCCGCATTCAGTACAAATTAGATTTGAAACGCACGTCATCACTATGTGATTTATAATATTAAAAATAGTCTGTTATTATTTAATGAAGTATTCAAGTATTACATTGTAATAAATGACGATTACGCTATAGTAAATAATGTAAAATATTACATTAAATTAAAGAAAAAAGACATTATGATTTCAAATTAAAAAATTGTATTTATTTTGTATTGACATAATATTAAAAAATAATATTAAAATAGGGTATATTATATAATACTGAGAGAGAGAGAGAGAGAGAGAATGATACATTATAGAATGTATACCGAAGAATTATAGGAATGCCTTTTCTTGATGACTTACGGCCTCTTTTCGCCGCTTGTGCATTTTGTGGATTCTCCTTTGCTCCCAACTTAGCTCGCTCAGCTTTCGTCGATGTTTGAACAGATGCAAGATAATCTGTCGAACCGATTTTTTGTTGAAGAATATCGTTGAAAGGTGTGTTCACTCCTTCGAGATAATTAATATTGGCCAAATTTAAAGGTTAAAAGGAAAGGTTTCGGCGAAAACATCCTTTTTTTTAATAGAAACAATTTCGAAAATTTTCCATGTCAATTTTGTTTCTTTCTTATTTCTCTTCAGGCGGAACCAATCTCACATATGACTTTCGTCAATTTGGTGTAGCGTGATTATTTCGTTAAGCCCGTGTTGCTAATTGGTGGCGGCGGCGGAGTAATTACGAGAGTGTGCGTGAGTGCGTGAGTGCGTACGTGCGTGCGTGAGGACCTGGCTAGCTGACTGCGGCGATCGTTGGTCACGCTCAATAAGTTCCTCTCACGCGGCTCGACAACGCACGATCACTCGGCTTGGCACCCCGAGGCGCCCGGGCGGAGTTAATTCGCGATCCTACCGCAAATTCAGCGGTCCCCGAAACTTCAAAGGCTCTCCGGGGTCCGTCGGGCTCTGCGATTTATGTAAACACGCGGTAATAATAAACATGCGGCAATAAATGCGATAACGAAAGAAAAATGCGATTCATTCCGTTGCCGCGATTGCGTTGATGCACGCGATAAATCATCGATAAGATATCGGGAATTCCTTTGTTTTTAATTCTTCATATAAAATCATATTTTAACTCTCTCCACTTTCTGTCTGGGTTTTTTGTTCAATCCAAGTTTTTTTTTTTTTACTGTTATAGGCTTTGAAAAAATTTAAAAAAATTCAGAGTTACTTTTCAATACTTTATTTTATTACTAAAAGTAGTTTTGTAACTTAAATGTTAAAACTTCAGTAAAAATTAAAATTTAAGTAAAAGTAAGAGTAAAATTTAAGAGTGAAATTTCATTTGTATGTAGCAAAAAAAATCCAGATTGCAAATGGAGAGTTAATTTATTTGTATGATGGAATAAGATGAGGAGGTTCGCTAGAGAACTCCGGATAAATTTATAAGCGTCAAAATTAATGAAATGCAGTTAAGTATCTTTATCACATATAAATAGGTAGTTAATCCATTTTCTACGATAAGATAGACTTTGTCAATCCAGTCTTTTTTCTCCAGATTCTTTTAAAGAAATTGTTAAATCTTACGGTGAAATTTATCCGATGGAAAATTTCCGAAGTCGAAAAGAATTCTTCGACCTGCGGCCAAGGCGATCGACCTGCAGTCGTAGTGACAGTGTCACGACCGTGCTTGTTAAAATACGATTGAAGGAAATCCGGTGTGATATTCGTGCATGTCTTCACCTAGGTTTACAGACGATTGTCGTGCGAAAATTCGTCTCTTTTCTCTCCACGTAAATCCTTTGAGCATTATAAGGAAAAATAAATTTTGAAAGTTTCTTGAAAAATAAAATGTACTGTCTAAATTCTTTTCAGTGGAATCTTATTATAAAGAGTGAAAAATTAAGCTAGTCTTTAAAAAGAGTGGCTCATTTTTCAATCTTTGACCTATTTCTTCGCATTATGTTATTTATAAGACAGCATGTTTTTAATTTTTTTCTTCATATGAATGTTTTATATGAAGATTTCTTCAGTTTTCTATACATGTAGATTATATAAGTATAGATATATATGAAGAAAAAAAATGAAAGAGATATTGTATATATATATATATATATAGAGAGAGAAGAAAAGTAAGATGTTCCATAAATAGAACGTTGGAAAGAAATGTGAGTTAAAATGAGATTTCACTCTAAGAAAGAAGAGTGAAATGTCACTCTTTAAAAGTTTTAAAGAGCAAGAGAATTTTAATCTATTAATCTAAATGATTAATCTAAACGAATCTATTGGAATCGCATTCACAAAGTTGGAAAGATTTCAAGATTTTTTTTATTATATTAATCCTCTCTAACTGATATACGATTTTGAGAAAATATCCAGGAAGATGGAGTTAGATTTGACTGGATACTCTGTTCTGTTTATTTTTCATCTAATTAATATACAAAATAAAAAGAATTTACTAAGGTATAATAAATAAATAAAATTTACCAATTTTAAATAATTACAGTAAATAAAAAACTTTGACGAAGTCGTGGGGTCACCTTAATCCTATTATTAAGATATGAACACGAACTTCAACAAAGGAAACAGATTTTCTGCTTTCCGACAACCAGTGTCAAATTTCCTGCTTTTAACACATGTTTACTGTCAAATCCCTTAGGCCAAAGTCGGGATTGCCTTCAATAAGTCGGCGAATACCAATATAATCTAGAAAAACATGTCTACTATGTCTACTATGTATTGTTTGAAAGCAGAAAATCTGCTTCTTTTGTGTTTTTCACCTTTTAGAGGATTAATCGACTTCTGATTTTGCAACACCACGCTTATATGTATAACAATCTTTACATTCAATCGCAACGCGGACCTGCTGATATACGATGAGCTAAATTTGCATCGCGAGTTGCGTATCTGGACGTTATCGCGCGGCGACTCTCCCGATCGTCCGATCTTGAAACGATTTCTCATTGCGTTATCATGTGACGTGCGTGTTACATCAGTACGTATAATGTTATAAATATATCATTCTGCGCCTGTTGCAGGTATGCGAGGAGCAGAAGTGCCAGGATGAGGTCTTTCCCCTGTCGATGAACTACGTCGACAGGTTCCTCTCGATCTGCCCAATCAGGAAGTCGCAACTGCAACTGCTCGGCACCGCCTGCCTGTTGCTGGCGTCGAAGCTGCGTGAAACATCGCCGCTCACGGCCGAAGTCCTGGTTTTCTATACCGATAATTCCATCACTCTCGACGATCTATGGGTAAGTGAACACGAGAAAAAGAGCACGATTGATCATGATATTCGGTGAGAGAATGGGAGAGAGAGAGACACCATTGTTTATTTATCGGTTCGAACGCGCCTCCTTCGATCGATATATTGTGTGTCTCACAATGTGGCAGCTATGAATTGCGTGTTAATTTTTTGACCCATATAGACGCAAATCGCAGCTTTATCTTATCGCGAAACTGTTAAATGGTCTTTGCAACAAGTCAATTATCTGCAAGCGGGAACAATCGCATAACAATAAGTTGATAATTCTAATGTTCTGAATCCCATAGTTATAGATGCATAAAAAAAAGTTCTTCGTATATCTTTTTAGACTTTAAGTAAGTACTCCACACGTAGTTATCTTAAAAATCTTGTTCGGGAGAAACAAAATAAAAAATATTGCCCAGAATTCTTAAAATTTTTACATTTCTCTCTCTCTCTCTCTCTCTCTCTCTCGGATATGAATAATGTAAATTTTTAACTCTGTACATTCAATAAAAAAATATATAACAAAAAAATAAATATGAAGAAAAGTTGCGGATCTATAGCAATCAATTCTTCATTTTAACTGCTGAAAGTTGTCGAAATGTCCTAATATTTACGACTATAAGTTTCTATGTCATTCAATTAATACCTGCAACTTTAATTTATATATCATCTAACTATTAAAAAATTTTATTATATGAAAATTGCGCACTGTTTACTGCGTCCGTTCTAAATGGCTATTTTAATTGTCATTTTTGACAAAAATATAAATTTTTTAGAGTTTTCTGAACACCTATCCATCTACCTACTTAAAGGTTGCACTCTGATTATTAAATAACCAAACTTTTCAGAGTGTAAGGTTCTCATTCGCGTCAATTTTAAGCAGCAGCTTCTCGTTTTACTTTAACTTGCTAACGCATTGTACGGACAAAATCAGTTGAACTCTGTGGCACGTGCGAACGAACAAAACACGATACCGCTAGTCGCGTCGTTGTCAGTTCCACTGTATAATTATCCAAATAGACGTTCCTAATGTGAGAGATCCATCAGGAGATCTTTCCACAATGTAGGACGTCAAAGCGATCGATATCGAGAGCGTGACATCTCATACTCCCATTGTACAGAATGTAGAGTAACGATGTAAATAAAAATGCGTGATGAAAAAAATAGCGACCCATCGATCCATTTATGTATCTGGGCTATGACGATCAGCGATACTGCAAACACGAACGTATTTGCACATTTGAAGTTAGGTAAATATACGAATATAAAATTACACTCTCCGATGTAGATCGTCGAGATATTTAAAGCGGTACAACTGCTTGAAATTCAGTTTTAAATCATAATCGTTGAATTTCAGTTAACTGAGATGTAATTGACTTTCTCTTTTTCTCCTACTTTTGTGGGACTAATCTTTATATAAAATTTTTCGTGGAAGAAATTTTTACGATATGCGATTTGATTAGATAAGAATATAATTCAGAATTGTTGCCCATCCTTTTACGACTCATGTCTCAATTAAAATATTTTTAATAGCTTGAATGGGACATCAAGAAATTTCGTTTTTTTTATTTCTGTAAATTTTTTTTTATATTTTAAAAATATAAAATTTTTAGAAAAGAATTCTTTGTTATACATGGAACGTCTTCTTCAGGATTTCTGTAGATGAATATTTTGTTACAAACATATTCTTGATTTATCTAGCAAGTGCAGCTTTTCTTTTATTAACGTACTTAGTTGGTTTCTTTCATATTAATACTATTTATCAAACTTTTACTTGGAAGAAATATAAAGCACGTGTACGATCGGACAGTCGAATTTGTTTTCCAGATTCAAGTAGAATCCACTCAGTGTTGCCGTTTCTTACACAGGCCGTCTTAAAGGGGCAAAATCACAATATTTAAGGTTCTTTAATTCTGTTTTGTATGGCAGGGATTTGCGTGTAATATAAGAAGAGAAAGCTTGCTGTTTGTTCTTACGAGCGTTGACCCCATCATACATTGGTTATATACATATTGAGTGTGTATATAACCTATACAAAGTATTGAAAAGAACGATTAACTAGCACAATCGACGTATATCATACTTTGTTTTTAAACTTGTCGAAGGATATATCGCTTGTTTGATAAAAAAATAATACATCTTAAAATTAGCATTTTTCAAGAAAACATTTAAAAAATTCTGAATTGAAAAAAATTATCTTTTCTATGAGCAATCATTGCGAATTTGGTCAGAGTAGATAGAGGATAAGCGACACTTCTGTTCTCTGGCGTTAAATTGAAAGAATTACATCACATTATGTATCGTGCGTTTTTTCAACAAAAAATATACATCAAACTTTAGAGTTGATTTTCTGTCATTATGTTAAAAATATTAATACTTGAGTTATTTCTGTGATTTCCAAGAAAATTTGTAATTCAATAGTTCATAAATTGGATAAATGATTTAATTTAATAATAATATAAATATTTTAATAGTGATAATAATATAATTTCAAAATAATAAAAATATAAGTTCGATTACACAAATTATAAATTATTCTTTTATAAAAATTGAAAAAATAAATTTAATACTTTCAAAAAATATTTGTAAGTATTTTAGTTAATATCTTTTAAAAGGTATGAAACATGCCGAAGAATTAATTTTCTAAAAAAGATTATTTTTTGTGATAGAGAAACTAAAAATAAAGAGATAAAATTATAAACTTACTATAAAAAGCTTACATCCATTGTCTTGCGGATTACAAATAATGTAATTCCTCATTTTTTTTTTCGATATCTTTAACGAGGATCTCGAAGTGAATTTTGGGAGGTTTTATTCTCCCTAAAAAAAAAAGCGGACCTAGCCTTCTAAACCGGTCTTGGAGCACACGAATTGAAGACGCGGATTTCGTTAAATGCGCATGTTCGATCGCGATATCTTACCGCTTCTCACAATAGTCTCAAGCGGACTACATTATCGTGACGGTCAGATCGTAGATTAAATACGTATCGATCGGTCCGAGCAACATATTCGTCATACGAAGTTGCAACGAAGCGTCACGTCAAATCGTGTTCGTTAGGTGAATGATATGGCTTGTCCGGAGCGCAAATTTCAATGCGAGATGGTCCAATCGACACGGTGACGTGGCTCCACGTGAACTATTTTGGGCCGTTTCAGGCGGTCTTCGGCGACTTCAGCTATAATGGGATGGCGATCATCTTTCTTCCTTTCTCTTTCTCTCTTCTTTCTGTTTAATGTCCGCTCTCTGACGTCGCGCGATTTCTTTGCGGCCTCGAAAGTTGAATATCTTCTCACGTGTTCGCACGTTTTTAGGAGATATTTGCGCTTGATCCGTGTGAATCGTTAATTTCGCTATCCAAACAGATGTAGCAATTAATCGTACATTGATACTTTCTCATTATAATAACCATCTAAATATCATCTAGTAGTTTTCTCCCATAAGCATTAATTATATTGATGACGATGAGAATCTCCGTCGTGCGTTGTCAAAATGGTCAAGTAACAGTTTTTCTAGAACTTGTGAATGGATTTCTGAATTTAAATGAATTTATTTGACTGGATCAAAATGAGAAGCGGGTGTATTTTGGAAATGTGCACAAGTTAACGTATGTGATAAATCTGCATAATTGTAATAGTTGCATAGATAAAAGATATTTATGCGACTTATTTATACTTTAATGTACAAATATGTCTTAATTCAATTTTATTTCAATTCAGATTTAAAGTTAATTTATATTAACTCGGGAACTCCCCTAATTTTTTTTACATAAACGTCACTGATATATTTTTTACACTTCAATTAAAAGTCACTATTATTAATTACATGTTACATATTATTGATTGTCCTCAATTTATTAATATTTCAGATCAATATGTACAAAGGTTTACTTGATATTTTTTTTTCTTGAAGAAGATAAAAAATAGAACATAAGTATGGATACTTTTTTAGTAAAAAAAAAAACTCTGAGATTGAGCTTTATTTTCTTGCTGCTGATGTAAAAATTACTCCGGGTAATTATTTCCAGATGCTAAAGCGAATTTTTAAATTATATAGGCTCTAGTCTTTCATTTTTAATTTCTCATTTATTCATCTCTTTTATTAATTTGCTCCTTTAAGTCGCGATTTATTAACTTTTGAAAATTGTCGTCTTTTGAAAACTAAAAGAGACTCTTAATTATCATTTTTATGTAACACAGTATTATTCTATTTATCGTTCTATGAATTTATTCCGATCGGACACATTCCTCGACGAAACGTGAAAATTACATCAGCGTTTGCTCCTCCGTTTTACGAGAGTACAAGGATATCTTGTTCAAGCGCTCCTCTATTGGTGGCATGCCAGATAACTCGTCACCAGTAGCGTATCTCCACCGACGCGACTCCGATCCGATCATTATTCCTGTGAATCATCGCCACTTCTTTGCAATCTATTGTGATGTTAATCGCAAAAAATGCGCACGATCTCGACCTATCATGCAACGTTTTGCTTCTTTGAAGAACTTTTTATTTAAAAAACCAATATTGTAGTACTATTAACCTTGTAAAGTTGCGTATTTCTCCTCGTAGGAACAAAAAACTCCTCACTGTACGATGAAAGCAAGAGACTTTGTCTCTGCCGACAATTCTAAATAAATTGAAATGCTAATTTTAGATATTTAAAATTTTTTCAGATATTAAAAATTTTCTTTTCTTAAATTATACGTTTCCGTAGCTAAAGATTTTTTAATTATTCGCGATAGTTACCGATTTGACGACGAATATTTCGATTACGTTTCTGTCGGCTCTCTGCGATCTTGTTGTTCCATTTGTATTCTCGCCACGATAAACCGCGGCGAATTGATCCTTTTGCGGAAATTACAATACACCGCGACTTCTGCGGACTACCGTGTGATATGAAACTTAATAATCATACCGCGTGTCGGATATCAAACTATGCAGAGTCTAGTTTTCGTCGTGAAACGTATCTACAAATGCAAAGTTTCGAAACTTCGTTTAACTATTCG